CAACTATTCCCCCCCCCCAGTGTGACTCCTTTCTGCCTGCCCCCCACCTTTTTTTTTTTTTTAACTCATTGTGAGTGAATTTTTACATCCGAAAAATCAAACCCAAGCCAGATACCTCCCATTCAGGGATCTCAGCAGCATGACGTCGCTGTGTGGGGATACTCATTCAGCATGTCCCCGTGTGTTCTCTGTTCTGCCTAATAGCAGTGCTTAAACAGAATCTCTGTAATGCAGCGTGATTTTCTTAAGCAAAAAATGCACATCTTTCTGCTTTAGACTGAAAAGTAACTGACAATTGAGTATCACCACCTGATTTTTCACTTTAGTCAGAAGTTTAGCCAGCTGATTCATTAGAACAATATTGTCTTGTTTTGACATCTCTCAAGGATACCAAGCAGCTGATGGTAAGTTTTCACATTCCTTCAGCACACAGGGGTTTTGTAGCATACCCTGCTAATGGTTTGCTCTTTGGTGTTCCAAAGTCCATTATTATTACTGAGCCTTGAATACCTTGAAAATACGTGTCATTTCATTAATTTTGTCCTCAAATCAGTGGTTTAAAAAGTGCCACAGTAAAATAATAATATTAAATTATGTTAATATTTAATGTCTTCTTTGAGAAGACTAAATATTGTTAAATTAATTCTTACTTCTCCTCCTAAGAAAGAAATAAATCATGAGGACTCCTTGCCTCTGAGATATCATCCTGTAAATGAGGGCTAGATGGGGAAGAAAGAGCTTTGTGCTCATACTGACAGCCTGCTGGGGACGTGGAAAAGATGGGGGTGCATTTTGATTGCGGGGTCTAGGGAGGTTCCTGAGAGTGGCGCTGGCCCAAAGGAAGGGATAAGTGGCACACAGATGAGAGCGTTTCAACACGGAAGGAAAAGCCGGAGCCAAACCTGGAGTTGGGGGGCAACTTGGGAGCTGATTGGGGAGCAGCAAGTGGACTTGTGTGGCCAGAACGTAGGCTGAGGCCAGGGTGGGTGGAGCAGGAAGCAAAGCTAGAAAGGCAGGAGTGGCCACACTTGGGATGGCTTTGAATGCCAAGCCAAGGACCTCCTCTTATAGGTTGGAGGCTGGAGAGGCTTTCAAACAGAGGAGTAGTGTTGCCAGAAACGTGGGTGTGAGGGGCTCTTTCTGCCGTGCGTGAGATGGATCCGGGTTGGGGGTGAGTCAGTGGGGGTGAGTCAGGAGATCAACTGGGAGCTGGTAGCAAGAGTCCTCATGAGCCACCATCAGTGGTGTTGGGGTGGAGAGAGCATGGGGTAGACTCAAGAGGATTTGGGGGCTGTGCTTGTGGGCGGTGGGAGAGAAGGGAAAGCAGAGATGACCTCAAGGTTTCAAACCTGTGAGGTATCTAGGGGAAACACCTCGACATGCCTCTGGCACTGACAAAGCAGTTGGGCTATCACATTCCAGGAAGTGAAACTTCCTGGAATTGGGAAAGGCACTTAGAGGCCACAAGTCACTGTGATCTGGGACGGAGTATTCCTTAGGCCTTGGAGAGATTGGCACTGGAAACTGAGAGGGCAAAGGGGGACCTTTATCTGCTGGAGGAACAGAGTGCGCTGTCCGGCTCTATCCTGCCCTCTCCAGCACATGGCGCAGTGCCCCTGGGAGCCCCCGGCAAGCCGTCACAGGGCAGCTGCTGGTGCTGGTAGCTCTGGCTAGAAAGCATGGAAGAGGCAAGCATGAAACCAGTCGCTGTGCACACAGCTGGCTTTAGGTGGAGATTTGTGGTGTGAATTAGTTAATGATTCTGGAAGGTCCAGAGGAAATAACTCAGTGTTTAGATAGTCCTTGTGAGGATGGATTTGTTGTTCACCTTCTTGCCTGCCGAGCTCTTCTGCTGTCCTCCTTCATGTGCTCCACCCAACATGGTCACCTGGAAGGTGGAGCTCATAGGCTATTAACAACCCTCTGAGCACCCCTGAGGCCCCTTCAGCTTTAGATGGGAGGAAGCCCCAGCAGCGGGACCCTCCCTGCCCCTCCCCTCCCCTCTATGCCAGTCACAGCACGCCAAGAGGGACAGAAGAAATGGCACATCTAGGGCTCAAGAGGAGGGGATTGAAGTTCACAGCCAGGAAGAGACAGTGTACTGGCAGGACTCCAGGTGGGGCTCCACCTCTCTCCTGCCCCTGCTCTGACTTGACTTCAAGCCTTGAAATGCTCTGGAAAGAGCTCTCGTTTCAAGAGCAGGAGACACTCAAGGCCATAGCTCGGCCGCTGCCACTTCCCTGGGCTCTCCCACTTCTGCCTGAGCAGCTCGCTCACATCTGTCTTATAGACTCATATATCAGGATTTCACATCAGAGCTCTTTTGAACAAGGGCTTCCGGGTGAGGGAAGAAACCAGCCTGGGCACTATTTAAATTTAAATCACTAGCTTTGTGTGATTCTCAAGTGAGGCAGACAGAGTTCTGGGTGG